CACTCTTTTATATATATATATATATATATATATATATATATATATATATATATATATATATATATATATATATATATATATATATACCGGGTGTCCCAAAAAAAGTACTCCGGTTTGATTTATAATAACTTCTAAACAAGTAAAGCTATCAAACAGAAATAACTTGCATTAAATAGAGGAAGGACTAACTTAGATTTTGATATATTACAGTTGTATTTTACCTAAAATTTCACGGAGATATTAATGTTCAAAATCGGGAGCATATTTTGGGATGTGTCTAAAATTAGCGAAAATCGCCATATCAAATATTAAGTCCAGCGTTTGTTTGCTTAATGACATATAAGGCTAACTTGTATTTCAGCGAATTGTAGTTAGGGTTTGTAAGGGATATGGCGTAGATTTAGACATCTTACATGTAAGTATTAGCTCATTGTTTCCTGAAATATGAACGTTCGTAATTATGCAAGTATTTATAGGTCTTTACAAACTTAAAGGTACATGCAAGACCATGCAAGGCAGGCGCTAAATTTTTTTCTTAAATAGCCCAAATTTTTATGTTTTTTTATGAGCTCAAAACAGAGTTGATTATTTATCGGTTAGAGCAGGATCAATATTATTTTTCAGTGAAGGAAATAATATTGCTTTTTGCAAATACACATCGCAGTATCAACGCTACTATTTTGTTAGCAACCACAATAATTTATTACAACCAGAGACAGCCGAAATATTTTTTGGGATCAAACCACGAAGGCAATTATCCACCAACGAACAATCGTCAGTTAGTGCGAAATCACCAACAAAACCAAAGAATAAAGTGAACAATGAAAGGAAGATTGAAAATAAGATTCTCAACCTATCATCGCGTGAACTTTCGATCGATGAAATATCATTACTGAAGAAAGGGTTAACATTTACACCAACGCCATCTGCAAACAAAAAGAAACTTAAGAACGATGTTCAAGAATTTGGAAGAAAATTACGTTTGATGGAGTATAACAATGATAACCAGCAAAAAATATCGGACAACTCTATTGTGAAAAACAAGTAAAATTTTGTACCTCCAAAACCACAAGATAAATATCTGGACACGTTCCTTAATGCACTATCTGACTATCCTGAAAATACACCAACAACAAACCACAAAAACAATTTAATTAAGTAAAGGCGAAAGAACGGCACTTGAAAAACTTATAAACGATAACAACATTATTATAAAAGAAGCAGATAAAGCTGGCGCAACAGTAGTGATGGATAAAAGATACTATAAAGATAAAATAGATGAACTACTATAGAAAACGGTAATCAGGATGAGACCATGAAGAAAATCAAAAAACATTTGGAAAAATTTCAACAGGAAACAACCAAAACTGAAAAGAAATATATACACAAATTTGCATCAAAGACCTCCAATTTCTACGGACTTCCGAAGATCCATATGTGTGAATTGATTACTAGAGCAATAACGGAACAGAAGAGAGAATACGTTAAACTTCCTGCACCAGCCAGTTTGAAATTCCGACCAATTGTAGCTGGACCTCAATCTCCAACGCACCGCCTAAGGCAACTTTTTGGATATAATTCTCAAGCCACTTTGCCAACATGTGCCCTGTTTCATCAGAGATGACATTGATTTTCTGAATCACTTGCCAAAAGAAATCCAAGAAGACACATTACTCGTTTCATTTTATGTTGTAAGCCTTTATACTAGTATTCCGCAAGACCTTGGACTAACTGCCATCGAATACTGGTTAGACAACTACATGAACAGTTTACCACGGAAATTCTCAAACGGCTTTGTATTTGAATCAATCTCAATTATTTTAAAAGGAAATACATTTAATTTTGACGAAAAACATTACCAACAGCTACAACGGACGGCAATGGGAACAAAAATGGCGCCGACCTACAGTACATTAATCATGGGATACCTGGAAACCCAATTATACGAAAAATATGGGGAAACGTTTAGAAACGAAGATTTGGAAGAACTGATAGGGACATTTAAAATATTTTTAGACGATTGTTCTTACTTTGGAAGCGACCAATAGAAGAACTACATATTTTTCACGAATTATTGAATAACCTCCACGATAAAATTAAATTCACCATGGAAAGAGACGAAAAATAACTTCCATTTCTGGATGTACTAGTTTACAAAGAGGATAAAAAGCTACACACAGATATATTTTATAAACCGACGGACACGCACCAAAATCTAAACTTTAATTCCTGCAATCCAAAGCATACTAAACGCAATATCCCGTGTTCGCTGGCTAGAAGGATCTGTACCATAGTATCGAAATCTGAAATACGGGACAAAAGAAGGGAAGTACTTGAAAATTTTCTCACGCCGCAGAACTACCCATTGAAACTAATCAAACATAGTATTAGTCAAGCGAAGTCATTTACAACTACAGAACGTCGTCAAACCAAAACCCGTTCTAGTGAAAACTCGAATGTCTTGCCACTGGTGATAACACATATCACAGCAATCGCTGCTCTTCAACAGAAGTACAACTTGGTGAAAGAAAACATCAACCGATTTACTTTTCGATGTAACCATGAGTAGCTTTGACGGGGCTGAGACATGCGAGTTAGTGGGATCTTATCTTCTATCACAACTAACGGCAGAGTACGGCAATGATATCGGTCTGTACAGAGATGACGGCCTCGCAGCCTTTGACAAAACACCGCGCGAAATCGAGATCATTAAGAAAAACATTTGCAAAGTTTTCAGTGACAATAACTTGAAAATAACCATCGAAGCCAACAAAAAATGCGTTGACTACCTAGACATTACACTTGATCTCAGATCGTCATCTTACAAGCCATACATGAAACCCAGAAATACACCGCTATATATCAACCACAACAGCAACCACCCGCCACCAATACTACGCAGCATACCAGATGCTGTCAATGAGAGGCTATCAAACATATCCTCTGATAAGCAATCCTTCGAGTCGGCTGTGCCCCCATATCAGGAAGCCCTTCCAAAGAGCGGTTTTAACTATGCCCTCAATTACAATCCCCAGCCACCAAAACCTAAACGCAATAGAAACAGAAACGTGATATGGTTTAACCCTCCCTACAGCACCAACGTTTCCACCGACATTGGTCACAAATTCCTGCAAGCTATTGATGAATGCTTCCCACCAAACCATCCTCTACATAAACTATTCAATAGGAACAACCTTAAGTTGAGCTACAGCTGTATGCCCAACGTGCACAATATCATCACGGCGCACAACAGAACCATGCTCGATCGCAAGCAGCCCGAGGCTACTAAAAATCCCGATAGGAAGTGCAATTGCCGCCAGGAAGAATCCTTCCCCTCCCCGGCAAATGTTTAACCGAAAGCGTTGTGTACCAAGCCACAGTAACGAGAGAAGACAACCAGCAGAAAGAAACCTACGTTGGACACACAGCGGGCCCATTTAAAGTGAGATACTATAACCACACAAGCTCGTTCAGGAATCCGGAACATAAACATTCAACCGAATTGAGTAAATATATTTGGCAGTTGAAACAATCCAACATACAATACTCTATCCCCTGGAAAATTTTAAAGAAATGTAAGGCCTACTCAAACAAAACAAAACGTTGTAAATTATGCCTGCATGAAAAGTTTGTTATAATTTTCTATCCCAAATTAAGCTCTTTGAACTCAAGAAACGAACTGATATCCGCATGTAGGCACAGGAAAAAATTCCTGCTCTGCAGCCAATAGCTCAGGTTGGCGTGTGAGTGTGGCATGAGTGTGGCAAGCTTAGTTTGCCATACGAAACAAATTTGTCGTGAATAAATGTTTTAAACGAAGTAACTCAAGTTTGTCTTTTATACATATATATATATATATATATATATATATATATATATATATATATATATATATATATATATATATATATATATATATATATATATATATAATGATGTAATGATATAATGATATAATGTAACCCATGATTGAATTTTAATTGAAAGCTAGAACGATTAAAATGTTTATTTTCGGAGTTATCGATGTTTTATATTTTATTAAAATACTCAATTGTTAACGTAATTATCCTGTAGAGTACTTGATATTTTGTGAAGTCAGACTTGTTTTATAAACGTGGATAAAAGATAATCGCATATCGTATCATGTCATGTCATGTCTTGCCATGTGACGTCATGTCACGTCACATCATATCATGTCGCAAAGTATCGTTCTATCGCAACTAACATATCATATCACTTAATTCTCTTTTGTTAATTAAATAGAACTGGTGGAGGAAGAGTCCGAAACTGACCAAATGACAGTCCCAGTAATTCCGCTTCGTCAACGACGTGCTATTGCGCAAACATTGTCAATAGGGAGTGGTGGGAGCGGCTGTGGCAGTGGAAGTGGCAGCGGCAGCGGCAGTGGCAGCGGCAGTGGCAGCGGCAGTGTCAATTGCACTGTCCAGGAAGGTGAGCATCTGAACTTTTAAATAAATTTTATTTCTGATGGATTTACCCAATTAACGGAGAAATATTTATCTCAACTTCGTTACGGACCAAATAGGGAAGTTTCATATTAATAATGCAATAGGAGTAATTGTTACTTTTTCGACCACTGACACGAAAATGTACATCATTTTTAATGCAAATATCCAGCAACATTATATCCAGCACGTTATAGGATGGATATTTTGATTTTAATTTTTGGCATATTTATATTACCTAACCCGTTGGAGAAATCACTAGCGAGGGACGCAATTATGTGATACAGGACAGGATCGAACAAAATTTCGGGTAGAGCACAACAACTGGACTGGCATAATAAAATAGCAGTCCGCATATAAAATTACTACACAGGGCCTATATATATATATAGTTTCGCACAATTAGGTATAATACATATATAATAAAAAGACATTTAAAATTTCCATCTACCAGCTGTACTCACACCCATATCTGGCAGTCCGCCTTTTCGTCGGCTTAATATCCACATTGTTTCAATATAGGCTACAGACGTGCATTAATCATTTCGATTTGTTAAGTTTGTTCATTAATCAATCATTTTATTTTTTTGTTAAATACATTTATCAAAACTGTTTTAAGAACATTTCTCTAGTAACCCCCCCCCCTCCCTTCTTCAACTGAAGTTCGAACATAACCCCTCCTTCGACGACTTTCAAAATTTTGTGACCCCTCATCAAAATCATCCACCACCCCAAAAATAATGACCATTCCCTTAAAAATAATGTGCGCCTGATTTACTCGCCGACATTAATGATTGTAGATGACAATGAATGCCTGTCATCTCCATGCGGAAATAACGCAACATGTAACAATACAGAAGGATCATTTAACTGTACCTGTGACCAAGGTTTCGTAGGGAATGGATTAAATTGTTCAGGTAAGATTGCGCTATCCTTTTTAAAGTCGCATTCCAATCAGTCTTCCCGAATTATTAAAAAAAAATCACATTATTTAGATCAGTTTATCTGCAGAATAAGCCTTGCTCAGTTAAGAATTTACATTTTCAGGTCAGTTTCGACAGTAGGACATCAGATCACCCTAATCTACAAACATAGCGACATATAATCTTCAGAAATGTCTTACCGATTTCTCAGTTTACTTTAATTAATTTTAAAAATCTGCAAGAATCTTATAAAATATTATAAAATCTTCTGAACTGTTTATTGAACTTGTCCGTTCAATTTAATTAATTAATTTAATTATAGACCAATTAACACAAATTATGTGCTCCTGATTTATTCGTCGACCTTAATGATTGTAGATGTCAATGAATGCCTATCATCTCCATGCGAAAATAACGCAACATGTAACAATACATTAGGATTATTTAACTGTTCCTGTAAACAAGGTTTCGAAGGGGATGGATTAAATTGTTCAGGTAATATAGTGCTATAGCCCTCTTCAAGTTGCGTTCCAATTAGTCTTCCTGAAGTATTAAAAAACCCACATCATTTAGATTAGTTTCTGTTATTAGTTTCACCCTTCCTCACTTAAGAAGTTACACTTTCAGGTAGGTTTTTATATTAGGACATCAGGTCACCTTAATCTACAAACATAGCGATATAAAATCTTCAGCAATGTCTTACCAACTTCTCATTTTATTCCAATTAATTTAACAGATCTTCAGAAATCTTATAAAATCTTATAAAATCTTTAGAAATATTTTACCGTTTTTTTTTGTTTTTTTTGTCTTTTTTTGCCTTGGCATAGAGACTGTAGTAACACAATTTACTAACCTCGAAATTTCTCCCCAACGGCAGGTATTTTCCGCGGGTGGCGGGTAACGGGTAGCGGGTGACGGGTAGCGGGTAACGGTTAGCGGGTGACAGATAGCGGGTGACGGGTAGCTCGTGTGTTGCGGATGGCGGTGGTTCTCGTAGTTCATATGTTGAACACATAGAATAATTTTCGCAACCTCGTTCCCAGGGCTTTCGTATGAGGGCGAGGCGGAGAGACGAGAAAGCCCTGGTCTGGGCCGATCACGTGACTACCAAAATAAGGATATATTTGACAGCTACTGGTCAAGGAGTGGCGATACATTCTTAACTGGAAATTATAATATACAAGTCTTCGAAACAAAAAAACAGCTAAAATCGATATTATTTATTTGTAGCGAAGTTTGGCACAAATACCTATATTTCTGGAGATTTTCAACCACATTGACAGGCAAAGCCAAAGGAAACATCTGTATCTCAACATGATTTCCAAGTTGCATCTAGCTAGGCGTCTCAAGTGGTGATTCACACGAAATTTGGTTTCTCTCGTCTTTAACAACATGGCTATTCCCTTTAATATTTGGTTTAAATAATTATGCTCTTAGGTCTGACTTAGTTCGATATAAATAAACACAAATATAAAACCTCGGGATTAATTACCTGTTTACGCTGCATGTACAGGAATATACGGTTCGCTTCGATCGCCGGACACCAATGCTTGCCTACAAATGTTATCCCTTTCACAATCTTTGTTTTATTTTATCGTATAGTCGCAATTTTCAAGTATTCGGGGTATTCTGAAACTGTAAAACTGGGTGTCGTGACTAGCGAATTTTGTGCAGACTACATCGGCCTACGGCGTAGAGCTATTTAGATAAACAGGGCATAAATTAGCAGTTTCATTTTATTGTTAGTCTTGTTTTTATTTGTCAGTATGGAATATTGTAAAATAAAAAATTACTACAATGCAATACGCGTAATATTTCATCAAACATCTGCAGTACATTATAATTACTGCACAAGGAAAACTGCGCAGTAGTCTACCGACTATAAAGTAGACGTTTCTTGTTTTTTCAGGAAACATCACAGCTTACGTCAACATAGCTTTTGAGTTTTGTAACCGGCCGAGCCGAAAGTAGCTTAATCATGCAGTCGAGAAAACCGAAAACTTCTTACTTTGAAAGATTATTTTGCAAAATACACTCGTACACACAAGAATCATAAAAATACATATGTTGAAATTGTTATTATCAACTGTCAAGTTCTGCTATTTTTAGACAATATGGTGTTAGCAAATCAGAATGCAAAATTGACCCGCCCAGACCAGGGCTTTCTCATCTCTCTGCCTCACCCTCATACGAAAGCCCTGGGAACGAGGTTGAGTAAATTATTCAATGCCATGTTCAAGATGTGAATTACGAGAACCACCGTCACCCGCTACGCACGCGCGACCCGTCACCCGTCACCCGCTACCCGTCACCCGCAACCCGCCACCCGCGGAAAATACCTGCCGACTCCCGAACCTCTTTGTTGAAGAATTAACACGCGATAAAATAACTATTCCGGTAGCAAGTAACCTGAAGTTCAGGCCCTAATCACAGAATAGGGCCTGACACAAAACCTATCTAAACTGTGGGATTCCCGTCCATCTGGTGGACGGGAAATCTGATTGGTTGATCAGGAGCATGAAGGATTTTGATTGGTTGCAAATTCACATAAAGAACAGTTTTAAAAGTAGCTCGGTCAAGGCGACAATTAATATGAAGGTCAAACGCACATAACAAATTCCATTATCGATTTCTTCGAATTTATTTATTTTTATGCTTCATGGCAGAAAATAATCAAACAAACAGTATTTTGAAAGGGCTTTATCAAAATCGTGGACGAATTTTGGACAAACGACGCTGAAAGAACAGCCAAACTAGTCATGTATTCGAAAGCTTGTTGTTGACAGCCAAGGCCAAGCCGTTCTGCCAACTGACTTCGCCGGTAAAAGTCTTATTTTTAATATCAGGTCCTACCGGCGTTGTTTTCTGAGCTACATCGCCTTCTTCGTTGTACGATTGAGAATTTAATTGTTGCTGTTGTTAGCCCGTTATAATATACGCGCGTCCAGCAAGTTGAGACCTTGAGAAAGCTTGGCAGTCAAGCCGTGCACAGAACTGACTAATTAAATCTCTGTTTGTCGGTTAAATAGACAAACTGACTCTTAATTATATAAAAGTACCTTGAATTTTTAAGTTTAATTATAAAGCAAAATGCACACTCTGCTGACATATTCATGAGAATTAAGTTTTGGGTGTAACGAAATCTACAACACTTGACAATCATATTGCATGTTGTGTCTAAAAGCAGATATAACATGTGGGCGTCCCACGGTCTAGACAGGTTTTGTGTCAGGCCCTATTTCAAATTAGGGCCTGAACTTCAGGTTAGGTAGCAAGTTAACTATAAAGTTTAGTATATTGTTGCTTTCGTAATTAATAATATACATAAAGATATTACTCGACTGTGATTTGTTGATTTCAGTGCAGTTAATCCCAAACAGCAGTGAAATTTTCTGTAATCACAGTGCAATTTCCTGTAATCACAGTGCAAAAATCTGTAACAAACTGATCTGATTGGTGGAAAAACATTGTGATGATTAAATGAACCAATCAGTTTAAAGCAATTTAGTTCAAAGAAGTAACGGTCACAGATTGCTTCAAAACAAAACAAACATGGCGCCGCGGTATACAAAGTAAAAGTTGCCTTCGCGTGGAAAATATTGCTTTTATCTTTATTTTTAAATGGAAAAGCATTTACATTAAACAAGACCAACAAAAATTACATAGTTGAGTGGAATTTTCAAGCTGTTAGCGTTGTATAATGTGATATAAAAAAGCCAGGAAAACTTTGCCAGTGGGATGTTCGCTAAAAACGCGTAAGTTAAAACTACAATTGTCAACAGGTGGGAAATTTGTCGTCGCTGACCAAAAAATCGCGGGCAGAAACAAAGCTCATGCATTTACATTCAAAACAAAGCAGAAAGTTGCAAGAAGCTGTTTTAGCTGACGATTTTTTGCTTTCCATTCAACGATTTACAAATTAACTGTTATTCTTATAAAGTCGATTATGAATTCTTTGTTTTGGGATGATTTGTTTTGTAATCGAGTGATTGGAAGAAGTGAATATGGCGACGTGAACATGGGAGTAAATACCGTATACGTCGATCTGTGGCTTGTTTAAAACCGTAATAAACGAAGAAAGACGTGATATGAGAATGAAATGTAAGTTGAAATTAACTTTATATGCCTCAAATTTTCCATTCTATGTTTCTTAATGTAACTTCAGCTGTCTAAGTTCAAAATACAAGCTCGCGAAATTTGACAAATTTTGAAAATATGTAAAAATAGCTTGACTTTGAACTGTAGTTTCTCAAAAATAGCCCGTGGCCTCAATTTCAAATATAGCTAAATGAAAAGAAAAAACTTTTCGGCGTTTGTAGGTATCAAACATATAGTCAGGAAAATAGGGGCTCACAATGTTTTAGCTGAGTCTTTGAGACCCAGTTGCTTCGCACGTGTTGTGGTCAAATTTTTGCCAAGAATCAAAGGCCGAAATGTGAACTTCCTTCATGAAAACCGGCTTGAGAAGTGTCTAGTTTGGAAATTTAGCTATTAATTTCGATTTCGTGAGCATATTTTGGTTACACGTTAAATATTTTTGAATTTGATGAGATTCAAAATTTGTTGTATATTCAAGCCCGGCTTTAGTGTAGTTTTAATGATGACCGGAACAGAAATAAAGATATTTTAAAAACTGGCCGTGGCCTCACGTAAAAATAGGGGATCATACAGTTTACGAGGTTGTAAAATGCATGATTTGCCTCTATTTTCATGTAAACATTCGAAATTTTTCGACAGCAAAGTGGCAACTTTTTCAGATCGAATGCACACGGACAGCTCACCAGAGACAATGGCAGGGTACTGAAATAGAACGTCACTAAAAAATTCGGTATGATTAATTTAGATCATGTCCATTTTCAACATAAAACAGTCATTTATTTTGTACAAACATTTGGCAATATTTACACGATTGTGCCTTTTTGTAAACACGCGTTGCGTGTATTCCACTCAATTGCGTGACTCATTTTGCTCGCGCATGCTCAGACAAATTTCCCACCTGTTACAATTGTCTCGAACATTTTTATGTAAATTGTTAATAAGTAATAACTCGTGAGTTTTTCAAAGACCTCAAATAGCACTCGTCCTTCGGACTCGTGCTATTTTGAGGTCTTTCAAAAACTCACTCGTGCATGTTATATCCAAATTGCACTAGAAACCATGCTATTACCTATACATATAGCGTGTATTCTATTTATGGCACACTCATCAGTACATATTAAACAACGATAATATATTGTATATTATGTTGGCGTGCAACTATTTAGTAATTTTAATCAAGTTTAATTAAAATGATCAATTGTAAAGGTTTCCAAAAGCTTAAAAAAATTACAAGGGGGTGTTTGTATTCAAACATAAGAACTTATAAACACTATTTTATATTTATAATAATTGCTGATATAAATTTATAAAAGCTCCGCGAGTAACGCTGAACGTGTTTTCGCGGTTATCACAAAGGTAAACAATAGAGCTATTTAAGGCCATAATTTATGAATTTTGCACTCCTTCATATTCCTTTTCCCGACAAGTTTTATTGCAAATAACATGACTTTAAGTATTCTACTTTTACCCTAAAAGAGTTTTAGACACCAGGTACGTTGCACTTTTGAGAATTTTAGTTTGAATTTTGTACCTAATCATTAGTTGTTCGGCGAACGAAAATATCTACTTATTTGTATGGAGACTGGTAGGCTTAAAATAAGATGTCATTCAAATTCTTTCACCATTATAAACGAAGAACAATATGCTTCAATACGCTGAAAAATGTTTCTAATTTGACACGAAATTTCCCGAGTTATGATGCACAATTTAACACACATTTGACCGCCGTTTTTGAGGTCAAATTTCAGTGTCGCTGACGTCCAGACAAAAATTCGTCTTAAATAAAAAAAAAGAAAAATAATACAGTAATATGTAATAATACATGTAATAATACAGTAGGATCATTTAACTTTTTCTGTAAACAAGGTTTCGAAGGGGATGTATTCAATTGTTCAGGTAAGATTGTGCTAGCCCTTTTTAAAGTTTCAATCCAATCAGTCTTCCTGAATTATTAAAATAATCACATTATATAGAATAGTTCCTGTGTAGAATCAGTTTTTTCTTGTTAAGAAATGTTATTTTTAGGTTTGTTTGGATATTAGGACATCAGGTCACCCTAATCTACAAACAAAGCGACATATAATCTTCAGAAATGTGTTAGCGACTTCTCAGATTATTTTAATTAATTTAAAAAATCTTCAGGAATCTTATAAAATAATATAAATCTGATAAACTTTTTAATCGAATTTACGTTCAATTAAATTAATTAATTAATTTATAGACCAATTAACACTAATTATGTGCTCCTAGTTTATTCATCGACATTAATGATTGTAGATGTCAATGAATGCCTATCATCTCCATGCGGATATAACCCGCATCACCAGAATTATGCGACATATGCGACTGCGAGGCTCACGCACTTTTGTCAGCGTATCAAGTGTTGCGCATGAGTAATTGAAATATTTTGTGATATACGATCCGGAGGTTTATCAATATCCCGCGGCTTTCGTCTGGCCTTTGGTCACATTAGGATTGCCCAAAACCCGAGATTTCAGCAGTATTTAATGATAAAAACTTGCGCGTATGACTTAAGAGCATGTTATTAAAGACAAGCAAGAAACGAGCTTCAAAAAAATAATTTTAGGAGAAGAAATTGACCGAAATCGCACCGAGTTATGGCCATGCTATTGGAAGCAAGACGAAGGTCGAAGTTCAGTTATCGGTCTTGGATACTCTAAAGTCTAAACTACCTTTAAAACAAGTTCAACAAGGCAGGGACAAGGGAAGGGAAGATTATATTTCTTCGTTTTTATATCATTCAAAGCCGTAAGAACCTCATCGAATGTAGGAATTTGTATTGTCTACAACGCGCAGCGAAGCAATCGTATTGTATTAGTAATACAATTTACTATAAATATTGGGAATCAGCCTCGGGTGATCACTTAGTGTTGCGTGTAGAATACTGAATCCCTGACTTAAATTTTTGTTTGTGCGGGATGCTCAAATACTCGGACATTTTTGAGGTCTTTGGAGTATTTGCAGTTGGCGCGTTATTTAAATTTCGTGGGAAAATGAAGCATACCGCTGCCCAGTACAGTACTGAAGTCTCACAAACATGAAGCCACACAACGGTTTGGTCAGTGGCGAATATATATTATTTCATGCTCCGAACATAAACAAAACATCATGGAGACCATAATTTTGAAAACGAGCTTTAATTTGGTCTTTAAAGTTTTGAAATACCCCAAATATTCGAGAAGTTATGGCTGTTTCAATGTGCAAGATATTTGCTCTTTTAGCGGAGGATTTGCGAACGTTTTCGTGTGCGTTGAAATATATTTTACGAGGGACAAACGGGAATAAGATAAGCGAACGAAATATTTATATATCACGATACTAGACATCTTCGAGTCGCAACTTCAAGTTTCGTTTGTAAATTTTGTCCGTCCATTTAATTTTTTTTGCCTGTTTTATAGTCACTTTTGTCTACTTGACATGTATTATTACAGTCACGGCCTTATAGAGAACTGAATTTCATAAAATTCGCAGGGGACAAGTCGCGATTTGTGGTATACGGTAACTATTTGGTGGATAATATTCTCCGATATTTACTGTATAATGTCTTGCTTTCGTTTGTTCCGATTCACAAACAGTTTAGCTAATATTTTAAATAATTGTGCAATTCTAATACAATTCCATATAAAAATATTTTAATTAAAAGCAATCGGATACGTGCGCTTGAGGTGTTGCGCAATCGCATGTCGCGTTTTTCTGGCGGCGCAACATGTAACAATACAGTAGGTACATTTAACTGTTCCTGCATACAAGGTTTCGAAGGGGATGGAATAAATTGTTCAGGTAAGACAGTGCTTTAGCCCTCTTCAATTGCGTTTCAATTAGTCTTCCTGAATTATTAAAAAAATGACAATATTTAGATTAGTTTCTGTGTACAAACACCCCTCCTCAGTTAATAAGAAGTTAAACTTTCAGGTAAGTTTTTATATTAGGACATCAGAAAACCCTAATCTAAAAACATAGCGAAAAATATTCTTAAGAAATGTCTTACCAACTTCTCAGTTTATTTTAATTAATTTAAAAAATTTTCAAGAATCTTATCAAATATTAAAAAATCTTCTGAAATATTCAATCGACCTCTCCGTTCAATTTAATTCGTGAATTTAATTATAGACTAATTAACACTAAGTGTGTGCTACTAATTTATTCAACGACGTGAATTACTGTAGATGTCAATGAATGCCTATTATCTCCATGCGGATATAACGCAACATGTAACAATACAGTAGGATCATTTAACTGTTCCTGTAAACAAGGTTTCGAAGGGGATGGATTAAATTGTTCAGGTAAGATAGTGCTTTAGCCCTCTTCAATTGCGTTTCAATTAGTCATTCTGAATTATTAAAAAAATCACAACATCTAGATTAGTTTCTGTGTAGACTCACCCTTCCTCATTTAAGAAGTTTCATTTCCAGCTAAGTTTTTATATTAGGACATCAGATCACGCTAATCTACAAACATAGCGACATATAATCTTCAGAAATGTCTTACCGACTTCTCAGTTTATTTTCATTAATTTACATAATCTTCCAGAATCTTATATTAAAAAATTTCTGAAATATTTAATCGCACTCTCCGTTCAATTTAATTCGTGAATTAAAATATAGGCTAATTAACACTAATTGTGTGCTCCTAATTTATTCAACGAAGTAAATTTGATTGTAGATGTCAATGAATGCCTATCATCTCCATGCGGATATAACGCAACATGTAACAATACAGTAGGATCATTTAACTGTTCCTGTAAACAAGGTTTCGAAGGGGATGGATTAAATTGTTCAGGTAAGATAGTGCTTTAGCCCTCTTCAATTGCGTTTCAATTAGTCCTCCTTAATTATTAAAGAAATCACAATATTTAGATTAGTTTCTGTGTAGACTCACCCTTCCTCATTTAAGATGTTACATTTCAAGGTAAGTTTTTATATTAGGACATCAGATCACCCTAATCTACAAACATAGCGACATATAATCTTCAGAATTGTCTTACCGACTTCTCAGTTTATTTTCGTTCATTTAAAAAATCTTCAAGAATCTTATATTAAAAAAAATTCTGAAATATTTAATCGACCTCTCCGTTCAATTTAATTCGTGAATTTAAATATAGACTAATGAACACTAATTGTGTGCTCCTAATTTATTCAACGACGTAAATTTGATTGTAGATGTCAATGAATGCCTATCATCTCCATGCGGATATAACGCAACATGTAACAATACAGTAGGATCATTTAACTGTTCCTGTAAACAAGGTTTCGAAGGGGATGGATTAAATTGTTCAGGTAAGATAGTGCTTTAGCCTCTTCAATTGCGTTTCAATTAGTCCTCCTTAATTATTAAAAACATCACAATATTTAGATTAGTTTCTGTGTAGAATCACCCTTCCTCAGTTAAGAAGTTACATTTTCACGTAAGTTTTTTATTAGGATATCAGATCACCCTAATCTACAACATAGCGACATATAATTTTCAGAAATGTGTTACCGACATCTCAGTTTATTTTAATTAATTTGAAAAATCTTCAAGAATCTTATAAAATATTAAAATATTTTCTGAAATATTTAATCGACCTCTCCGTTCAATTTAATTATTTAATTTAATTATCGACTAATTAACACTAATTTTTGCTACTAATTTATTCATCTACATTGTGGATTGTAGATGTCAATGAATGCCTATCATCTTCATGCGGATATAACGCAACATGTAACAATACAGTAGGATCATTTAACTGTTCCTGTAAACAAGGTTTCGAAGGGGATGGATTAAATTGTTCAGGTAAGATAGTGCTTTAGCCCTCTTCAATTGCGTTTCAATTAGTCATTCTGAATTATTAAAAAAATCACAACATCTAGATTAGTTTCTGTGTAGACTCACCCTTCCTCATTTAAGAAGTTTCATTTCCAGCTAAGTTTTTATATTAGGACATCAGATCACGCTAATCTACAAACATAGCGACATATAATCTTCAGAAATGTCTTACCGACTTCTCAGTTTATTTTCATTAATTTACATAATCTTCCAGAATCTTATATTAAAAAATTTCTGAAATATTTAATCGCACTCTCCGTTCAATTTAATTCGTGAATTAAAATATAGGCTAATTAACACTAATTGTGTGTTCCTAATTTATTCAACGACGTAAATTTGATTGTAGATGTCAATGAATGCCTATCATCTCCATGCGGATATAACGCAACATGTAACAATACAGTTGGATCATTTAACTGTTCCTGTAAACAAGGTTTCGAAGGGGATGGATTAAATTGTTCAGGTAAGATAGTGCTTTAGCCTCTTCAATTGCGTTTCAATTAGTCCTCCTTAATTATTAAAAACATCACAATATTTAGATTAGTTTGTGTGTAGAATCACCCTTCCTCAGTTAAGAAGTTACATTTTCACGTAAGATTTTTATTAGGATATCAGATCACCCTAATCTACAACATAGCGACATATAATTTTCAGAAATGTGTTACCGACTTCTCAGTTTATTTTAATTACCTTAAAACACATTCAAGAATCTTTTAAAATATTAAAATATTTTCTGAAATATTTAATCGACCTCTCCGTTCAATTTAATTATTTAATTTAATTATCGACTAATTAACACTAATTTTTGCTACTAATTTATTCATCTACATTGTGGATTGTAGATGTCAATGAATGCCTATCATCTTCATGCGGATATAACGCAACATGTAACAATACAGTAGGATCATTTAACTGTTCCTGTAAACAAGGTTTCGAAGGGGATGGATTAAATTGTTCAGGTAAGACGGTGCTTTAGCCCTCTTCAAGTTGCGTTTCAATTAGTCATCCTGAATTATTAAAAAAATCACAACATTTAGATTAGTTTCTGTGTAGACTAACCCTTCCTCATCTAAGAAGTTTCATTTCCAGCTAAGTTTTTATATTAGGACATCAGATCACGCTAATCTACAAACATAGCGACATATAATCTTCAGAAATGTCTTACCGACTTCTCAGTTTATTTTCATTAATTTACATAATCTTCCAGAATCTTATATTAAAAAATTTCTGAAATATTTAATCGCACTCTCCGTTCAATTTAATTCGTGAATTAAAATATAGGCTAATTAACACTAATTGTGTGCTCCTAATTTATTCAACGAAGTAAATTTGATTGTAGATGTCAATGAATGCCTATCATCTCCATGCGGATATAACGCAACATGTAACAATACAGTAGGATCATTTAACTGTTCCTGTAAACAAGGTTTCGAAGGGGATGGATTAAATTGTTCAGGTAAGATAGTGCTTTAGCCCTCTTCAATTGCGTTTCAATTAGTCCTCCTTAATTATTAAAGAAATCACAATATTTAGATTAGTTTCTGTGTAGACTCACCCTTCCTCATTTAAGATGTTACATTTCAAGGTAAGTTTTTATATTAGGACATCAGATCACCCTAATCTACAAACATAGCGACATATAATCTTCAGAATTGTCTTACCGACTTCTCAGTTTATTTTCGTTCATTTAATTAAAAAATCTTCAAGAATCTTATATTAAAAAAAATTCTGAAATATTTAATCGACCTCTCCGTTCAATTTAATTCGTGAATTTAAATATAGACTAATGAACACTAATTGTGTGCTCCTAATTTATTCAACGACGTAAATTTGATTGTAGATGTCAATGAATGCCTATCATCTCCATGCGGATATAACGCAACATGTAACAATACAGTAGGATCATTTAACTGTTCCTGTAAACAAGGTTTCGAAGGGGATGGATTAAATTGTTCCGGTAAGATAGTGCTTTAGCCTCTTCAATTGCGTTTCAATTAGTCCTCCTTAATTATTAAAAACATCACAATATTTAGATTAGTTTCTGTGTAGAATCACCCTTCCTCAGTTAAGAAGTTACATTTTCACGTAAGTTTTTTATTAGGATATCAGATCACCCTAATCTACAACATAGCGACATATAATTTTCAGAAATGTGTTACCGACATCTCAGTTTATTTTAATTAATTTGAAAAATCTTCAAGAATCTTATAAAATATTAAAATATTTTCTGAAATATTTAATCGACCTCTCCGTTCAATTTAATTATTTAATTTAATTATCGACTAATTAACACTAATTTTTGCTACTAATTTATTCATCTACATTGTGGATTGTAGATGTCAATGAATGCCTATCATCTTCATGCGGATATAACGCAACATGTAACAATACAGTAGGATCATTTAACTGTTCCTGTAAACAAGGTTTCGAAGGGGATGGATTAAATTGTTCAGGTAAGACGGTGCTTTAGCCCTCTTCAAGTTGCGTTTCAATTAGTCATTCTGAATTATTAAAAAAATCACAACATCTAGATTAGTTTCTGTGTAGACTCACCCTTCCTCATTTAAGAAGTTTCATTTCCAGCTAAGTTTTTATATTAGGACATCAGATCACGCTAATCTACAAACATAGCGACATATAATCTTCAGAAATGTCTTACCGACTTCTCAGTTTATTTTCATTAATTTACATAATCTTCCAGAATCTTATATTAAAAAATTTCTGAAATATTTAATCGCACTCTCCGTTCAATTTAATTCGTGAATTAAAATATAGGCTAATTAACACTAATTGTGTGTTCCTAATTTATTCAACGACGTAAATTTGATTGTAGATGTCAATGAATGCCTATCATCTCCATGCGGATATAACGCAACATGTAACAATACAGTTGGATCATTTAACTGTTCCTGTAAACAAGGTTTCGAAGGGGATGGATTAAATTGTTCAGGTAAGATAGTGCTTTAGCCTCTTCAATTGCGTTTCAATTAGTCCTCCTTAATTATTAAAAACATCACAATATTTAGATTAGTTTGTGTGTAGAATCACCCTTCCTCAGTTAAGAAGTTACATTTTCACGTAAGATTTTTATTAGGATATCAGATCACCCTAATCTACAACATAGCGACATATAATTTTCAGAAATGTGTTACCGACTTCTCAGTTTATTTTAATTAACTTAAAACACATTCAAGAATCTTATAAAATATTAAAATATTTTCTGAAATATTTAATCGACCTCTCCGTTCAATTTAATTATTTAATTTAATTATCGACTAATTAACACTAATTGTTGCTACTAATTTATTCATCGACATTGTGGATTGTAGATGTCAATGAATGCCTATCATCTTCATGCGGATATAACGCAACATGTAACAATACAGTAGGATCATTTAACTGTTCCTGTAAACAAGGTTTCGAAGGGGATGGATTAAATTGTTCAGGTAAGACAGTGCTTTAGCCCTCTTCAAGTTGCGTTTCAATTAGTCATCCTGAATTATTAAAAAAATCACAACATTTAGATTAGTTTCTGTGTAGACTAACCCTTCCTCATCTAAGAAGTTACATTTCCAGGTAAGTTTTTATATTAGGACATCAGATCACCCTAATCTAGAAACATAGCGACATATAATCTTCAGAAATGTCTTACCGACCTCTCAGTTTATTTTCATTAATTTAAAAAATCTTCAAGAATCTTATATTAAAAAATTTCTGAAATATTTAATCGAACTCTCCGGTCAATTTAATTCGTGAATTTAAATATAGGCTAATTAACACTAATTGTGTGCTCCTAATTTATTCAACGACGTAAATTTGATTGTAGATGTCAATGAATGCCTATCATCTCCATGCGGATATAACGCAACATGTAACAACACAGTAGGATCATTTAACTGTTCCTGTAAACAAGGTTTCGAAGGGGATGGATTAAATTGTTCAGGTAAGATAGTGCTTTAGCCTTCTTCAATTGTGTTTCAATTAGTCCTCCTTAATTATTAAAAAAATCACAATATTTAGATTAGTTTCTGTGTAGAAGCACCCTTCCTCAGTTAAGAAGTTACATTTTCACGTAAGTTTTTTATTAGGAGATCAGATCACCCTAATCTACAAACATAGCGACATATAATCTTCAGAAATGTCTTACCGACAATCCATCAGTCAATCAATCAAAATATTTAATCAAGATACCTACGAGCTATATACAGGAGGTAGGTTTTTGCAGGAGGAACGGAAGGTTAACCCTATATAAGAACCCCTAGAAAGGATTAGTAGATAAAAAGTGTTAATAGTATGTACGTTAATGAGTGTATATTAGTAAGCTAAGATAGACATATTAGTATATTAGTAAATTAGTAAATTAGCAAATTAGTAAATATTCAGGTGGCGCTTGAGTTCCTGCTTAAACTATGAAAACTATTCGCTTCGACGACGCTCAGAGAAGCAAAGCGTTCCATGCAGTGACTATTCTGACAAAAAAAGAATACTTATAAGAGTTAACTCTAGAAAGCTTGGTGTATAGAGTATATTTGTGATTTGATCTGGTTTTCCTCGATTTCTTATATTCAAAAACTTCATCGAAGTTTATACCATTTAGGCCAAAAACTGTTTTATAGCACTCTGTGAGAGATAAATACTCTCTGCGTTTTTCCAAAGTATTCCATTTTAGTAAGACACAACGATCTGGGTAGGACATCTCTCCCCTCTTCTGTTTAAGTGCTATCCGCGATGCTCTTCTCTGAACGGATTCGAGAGCCTTGATATCCTTGGATAAGTGTGGCGACCAGACTGGTGCGGAATATTCCAGTACAGGTCTAACCAATTAGGCTTTGTACAATAATGTGAATGTTGCTAAGTTTGATGATCCAACGGTTCGCTTAACCAGACCTAGCATTCGGTTTGCTTTACTAGTTATATTATGAACATGAGATGACCAAGCTAGGTTATGCATATGTGTCATCATAATACCTAGGTCTTTAAATTCGTCTGTTACTTCAAGTTTCTTATCTGACAGATAGTATTCAGGTAGAGAGAGGTCTTTTGAATGGATTATTCGCATTACTTCGTATTTCTCAAAGTTGAAGATTAGTTGCCAATTTTCAGTCCAATTTCTCATACGGTCTAAATCAGATTGCAAAATACTAGTATCGGCAAATTTGTCGACTAATTTTCGGTAAACTTTTGTGTCATCTGCGAAGAGCTTAATCGTGCTTTGGATTGCCGGGGGTATAGGTCGTTTATATAAATGAGAAACAATATTGGACCTAAAATTGTTCCCTGCGGTACCCCTGATTTAACTGGGGACCAGTTTGACTGCGAGCCACGTACGATAACACGCTGATAGCGGTCCGTGAGGAAGTATCTGAACCAATCGAGCAGTGCCCCACCGATACCGTGTGTTTCAATTTGTATAGTAAGCGCTCGTGTGGCACACTGTCAAAAGCTTTACAAAAGTCCATAATAATTATTACAACATCAGTGGGAGTAGCTTCGTGTCTAGATTTAGCCCAGTCATTGAAACATAGAAGCAGTTGGGATAGTGTAGATTTATTCGCTTGGAAACCGAATTGATGTTCTCAAAAAATATGTCGATCTATAGCCAGAATTTTACACATCTGTCTTGAACGATCTTCTCGGCGACTTTTGAAATGACTGACGTTAGAGAGATTTGGCGATAATTTTCTTTCATAGATTTCGACTTTCGTTTATGTACAGGGGCGATATTTCCAATCTTCCAATCATACGGAAGTTTACCAGTGGAAAAGGACTCGTTTAAAATAGTTGTTAGGGAAGGTACAAGCTGTGTGCAACATTGTTTCAAAACATGTGGAGAAATATCGTCTGGACCAGGAGACTTGTTTACATTCAACTGTTTCAGGTGACGTTCAACTTCCGCAACGGTGCATTTGATGTTAGTTAAACTATTCTTTGTCCTTCGTATCATTGACGGAAAGTTTTCTAAAGTTTCCTCGGTAAACACTGATGAAAAATAATTATTCATACTCTCCGCAATTTCACTGTCATTTGTAATCTCTCCATCCTGTGTTCTTAATAATATTAGATTCTTTGTTCCCTTCCGCTTAGAATTTACATATCTCCAAAACGGTTTCGCATCATTGCTCGAAAACAGTTTCGCATCATTGCTCGCACAGACTTCTCAGTTTATTTCCATTAATTTAAAAAATCTTCAAGAGTCTTTTATTAAAAAAATTCTGAAATATTTAATCGAACTCTCCGTTCAATTTAATTCGTGAATTTAAATATAGACTAATTAACACTAATTGTGTGCTCCTAATTTATTCAACGACGTAAATTTGATTGTAGATGTCAATGAATGCCTATCATCTCCATGCGGATATAACGCAACATGTAACAATATAGTAGGATCATTTAACTGTTCCTGTAAACAAGGTTTCGAAGGGGATGGATTAAATTGTTCAGGTAAGATAGTGCTTTAGCCTCTTCAATTGCGTTTCAATTAGTCCTCCTTAATTATTAAAAACATCACAATATTTAGATTAGTTTCTGTGTAGAATCACCCTTCCTCAGTTAAGAAGTTACATTTTCACGTAAGTTTTTTATTAGGATATCAGATCACCCTAATCTACAACATAGCGACATATAATTTTCAGAAATGTGTTACCGACTTCTCAGTTTATTTTAATTAATTTAAAAACCTTTTAGAATCTTATAAAATATTAAAACATTTTCTGAAATATTTAATCGACTTCTCCGTTCAATTAAATTTAATTAGTTAATTTAATTATCGACTAATTAACACTAATTGTGTGCTCTTAATTTATTCAACGACGTTAATGATTGTAGATGTCAATGAATGCCTATCATCTCCATGCGGATATAACGCAACATGTCACAATACAGTAGGATCATTTAACTGTTCCTGTAAACAAGGTTTCGAAGGGGATGGATTAAGTTGTTCAGGTAAGATAGTACTTTAGCCCTTTTCAATTGCGTTTCAATTAGTCCTCCTTAATTATTAAAAAAATCACAATACTTAGATCCGTTTCTGTGTAGAATCACCCTTCCTCAGTTAAGAAGTTACATTTTCACGTAAGTTTTTTATTAGGATATCAGATCACCCTAATCTACAACATAGCGACATACAATTTTCAGAAATATGTTACCGATTTCTCAGTTAATTTTAATTAATTTAAAAAACCTTCAAGAAACTTATAAAATATTAAAATATTTTCTGAAATATTTAATCGACCTCTCCGTTCAATTTAATTATTTAATTTAATTATCGACTAATTAACACTAATTGTGTGTTACTAATTAATTCATCGACATTAATGATTGTAGATGTCAATGAATGCCTATCATCTCCATGCGGATATAACGCAACATGTAACAATACAGTAGGATCATTTAACTGTTCCTGTAAACAAGGTTTCGAAGGGGATGGATTAAATTGTTCAGGTAAGATAGTGCTTTAGCCTCTTCAATTGCGTTTCAATTAGTCCTCCTTAATTATTAAAAACATCACAATATTTAGATTAGTTTCTGTGTAGAATCACCCTTCCTTAGTTAAGAAGTTACATTTTCAGGTAAGTTTTTATATTAGGATATCAGATCACCCTAATCTACAAACATAGCGACATATAATCTTCGGAAATGTCTTACCGACTTCTCAGTTTATTCTAATTAATTCAAAAGATTTTCAAAAATCTTATAAAATCTTATAAAATCTTCAGAATTTTTTTATCGACATCTCCGTTTAATATAATTTAATTTGTTAATTTAATTATAGACCAATTAACACTAATTGTGTTCTCTTAATTTATTCATTGACTTTAATGATTGTAGATGTCGATGAATGCTTATCATCTCCATGCGGATATAACGCAACATGTAATAATACAGTAGGATCATTTAACTGTTCCTGTAATCATGGTTTCGAAGGGAATGGATTCAATTGTTCAGGTAAGATAGTGCTTTAGCCCTCTTCAAGTTGCTTTTGAATTAGTCTTCCTGAATTATTAAAAAATCAGTACATTTAGATTAGTTTCTGTGTAGACTCACCCTTTCTCAGTTAAGAAGTTACATTTTCAGGTAAGTTTTTATATTAGGAGATCAGATTACCCTAATATTCGAGCATAGCGATATAAAATCTTCAGAAATGTTTTACTGACTTCTAAGTTTATTCTAATGAATTTAAAAATCTCCAGAAATTTTATAAAATCTTATAAAATGGTCAGAAACGTTTTACCGACTTTTCAATTTAATTAAATTAATAATTAACGATCAATTAACAATAATATGCTCCTGATTTATTCACCGACATTAATGATTGTAGACGTCATTGAATGCCTGTCATTTCCATGCGGAAATAACGCAACATGTGATAATACAGAAGGATCATTTAACTGTTTCTGTAAACAAGGTTTCGAAGGGGATGGATTCAATTGTTCAGGTAAGATTGTTCTAGCCCGTTTTAAAATTTCAATCTAATCAGTCTGGCTCAATTATTAAAAAAATCACATCATTTAGATTATATATATATATATATATATATATATATATATATATATATATATATATATATATATATATATATATATATATATATATATATATATATATAGAAAGACACAAAAACTTAGCAAGCTTTGTTTGGCATATTTATTACTATACAGTTTCGTACCACGTAAATAACGTGGCACTCTTCAGATAAAATAACCTATGTTTGACCTATAGTTTCTTAACGAACTTTTTAAATATGTACAGATGGTATAAAGGACGCTTATCTAATTACAAATCAATTAACACCTCAACTAGTCACGAAAATATTAGTATCAAGTTATAAAGTTTCTAAGTAGAAATTAATTAGCGTGTCTACACGTGGAGACACGCTAATAAATTTCTACTTAGAAACTTTATAACTTGATACTAATATTTTCGTGACACTATACTTGAGGTGTTAATTGATTTGTAATTAGATAAGCGTCCTTTGTATCATCTGTACATATTTAAAAAGTTCGTTAAGAAGCTATAGGTCAAACATAGGCTATTTTATCTGAAGAGTGCCACGTTATTTACGTGGTACGAAACTGTATAGTAATAAATATACCAAACAAAGCTTGCTAAGTTTTTGTGTCTTTCTATTATGCTCTGGTTATCCATTGAGCACTCTATCATTGGTTTTTATAACCTACACATACTATTTATATATATATATATATATATATATATATATATATATATATATATATATATATATATATATATACAAATTGGTTTTCTCCTTCTGCCATATAGTGCTCTACACCAAAGTGGAGCTAAGTTAAAATTAAAATTAAAGATTAAAACCTAAGAATGTTCATTAAAAATTGAAAAGCACTACAGTTCTGTTTCGAGAGGCCCTTTCTAGATCCTCTCTCTTCAGGTGCATGATCAGATTACACTAAAATATCCCATTTATATACCGATCGTTCATAGTCATAAAGCCTAACCGTTTTTAATTAAAAATTTGTTTGCATGACGGCATGCACTAGCCAGTTCGTTTCTTTTGTTTAGAGTACAAGTTTCCGGTTTACAAATGATGAAATATTTTTCCATTATACATAAATTACATTTTTTCCCAATATTTGAATACGGATTTGCACGGGCCATTATTTTCCAGTCTACAGCGTATCTAATGTTATTGTCTTTTAGGGACCAAATGTGCTTGCTTAACTCTGTGGAGTTTCTCTTGTTGTTGTCACGGAATGAACACGTGTGATTGTTAAATCGTGTTTTGAACCGATCCCCAGTAAGGCCGATGTATGTTTCCTTTGTATCGTTGGTTTTCACAGTGGCTTGGTAAATGACATTGTTGCTTAGGCATTCTCCTTTTAGCGGACAATCTGGTTTCGATCTACAATTACACATTCTTTCGGATTGTTGTGGGTTTTCTCTGAGGATAGATTTGTTGTGGGTATTGATTTTTCTTTCTAAATTAGGCATGCACGAGTAACTTATTTTCAATGTGTTTTTATTAAATATTTTTTGCAGTGGGTGCCCGCTCTTGAAGGATTCTTTCACAATGTTTCTAAACTTGCGTCCTACATTTGTGGCGACATTTTTGCTAAATGGGGGATTATACCATGTAATATTCCTGCGCCTAGATCTTCTCTCTGTAGCTTGGTTGTTGGTTGCTTCATATTTTAGGTCATAGTTATAGCCGCTTTTTTCTAATGCATGTTGGTATTCGGGTGATGCTTTGTCAAATGATTCCTTGTTTGAGGAAAGTTCGTTGAGCCTTTTGTTGATTGCTAGAGGGATGTTTTTTATAATGCTTGGTGGGTGATTGCTCTCATTGTGAACATAGAGTGGCTTATTGTTGGGTTTGAGATACGATTCGTGGGTTCCTTTGTTAAGGTCCAAGGTTACGTCCAGGAAATTAACGATCTTTTTGTTGGCATCAATTTTTATTTTCAAACCATTGTCCTTGAACACTTTGCAAATCTGTTTCTTGAATCTTTCGAGGCATTGAGGTGAATTTTCAAATGCTCCCAGGCCATCATCTCTATACAGGCCAACTTGATTTCTAATGGTCTCGGGAAGCTGGTGTAGTAAGTACGATCCCACTAATTCACACGTTTCTGCGCCATCAAACGAGCCCATCGTGACATCGAATGAGTTTGATGAATTCTTTTTGGTCCATGCGATGTTGCCGTTGTATAGGAGAGATTGCTTTGCATGCCATATTATTTCTTTCTCTTGGGCTGGAATATCTGTGTGTGCTTCTGCGAATTTGAGAGCGTCCTCGAGTAGTTTAGATGAGATTGAGGGATAGAAATTTACAATGTCGAATGTAATAAACGAGTGCCGCTCTTTTCCGGTGATGCTGTTAAACCAATTTAAAGTGTCTTTAGTGCTCTTCCATTGTTTCACGCCTGTTTTGTTAATAATGTCTTTGTTTATTCTGTCGAGGATACATTTGCTCACTTTGCCTATTTCAGACTTCGTTGGATTTATTAGACGGCAAGTTGGGTTATTCGAGAAGTTGTCTTTATGATCCTTCAAGGAGATAAAAGCTTCATTTTGAGCTAACGTTTCGATTCTATCGCTTAGGTTTAAATTTCGAGCTATGTCTTTCGCCTTGTTGTTGATCTCGCTCACTGTGTCTACGGGTGCCTTCTTGTATTCTTTCTCTATGTTCTTTTTTAATAATGATTTATAATTGTCGGTGGTCATTCTGTAGAAGTTTGTAGTCTTATCCGCTGGTATATATAAGTTGGCGTCTTTATTGATTGCTTCCGTGTGTTCGGACAGTTTGCGTTGGAACTCCGAGGGCCTAGGTGTTCTGAATTCGATGTTATGGATCATATTGGTCATCTTGGTTTCAAACTCGTTTAGCTCGGGTACTTGTGGTGGGGTTTTCTTCGATTTGAATCCATAAGTTTGCTGTTCGTTGTTTGTTGTAGATGGTTTTAGGAAGTGGTAGGCACGCCATCGCATTCTGTTGATCAGTTTGCCAGTCATTTCAATCAGCCTTTTGTGGTATTCTTTATTAGTCGGTATTGGGATATTTTTCGTCGAACAATCAAAGTTTATCCTTTGCATATCGGCTTTTTGGAAATATAGTGCTCAACTTGAGGAGCGTGTAAATACAAATTGGTTTTCTCCTTCTGATGATGAAGATCTAGACGAAGATCTACAGAGAGAAGATCTAGACGCAGGAATATTACATGGTATAATCCCCCATTTAGCAAAAATGTCGCCACAAATGGAGGACGCTAGGATCTAGAAGATCTAGATGAAGATCTACAGAGAGAAGATCTAGACGCAGGAATATTACCTGGTATAATCCCCCATTTAGCAAAAATGTCGCCACAAATGTAGGACGCAAGTTTAGAAATATTGTGAAAGAAGCCTTCAAGAGCGGGCACCCACTGCAAAAAATATTTAATAAAAACACATTGAAAATAAGTTACTCGTGCATGCCTAATTTAGAAAGAAAAATCAATACCCACAACAAATCTATCCTCAGAGAGAACCCACAACAATCCGAAAGAATGTGTAATTGCAGATCGAAACCCGATTGTCCGCTAAAAGGAGAATGCTAAGCAACAATGTCATTTACCAAGCCACTGTGAAAACCAACGATACAAAGGAAACATACATCGGCCTTACTGGGGATCGGTTCAAAACACGATTTAACAATCACACGTGTTGATTCCGTGACAACAACAAGAGAAACTCCACAGAGTTAAGCAAGCACATTTGGTCCCTAAAAGACAATAACATTAGATACGCTGTAGACTGGAAAATAATGGCCCGTGCCAATCCGTATTCAAATATTGGGAAAAAATGTAATTTATGTATAATGGAAAAATATTTCATCATTTGTAAACCGGAAACTTCTACTCTAAACAAAAGAAACGAACTGGCTAGTGCATGCCGGCATGCAAACAAATTTTTAATTAAAAACGGTTAGGCTTTATGACACTATGAATTACGATCGGTATATAAATGGGATATTTTAGTGTAATCTGATCATGCACCTGAAGAGAGAGGATCTAGAAAGGGCCTCTCGAAACAGAACTGTAGTGCTTTTCAATTTTTAATGAACATTCTTAGGTTTTAATCTTTAATTTTTAATTTTAACTTAGCTCCACTTTGGTGTAGAGCACTATACGGCAGAAGGAGAAAACCAATTTGTGTATATATATATATATATATATATATATATATATATATATATATATATATATATATATATATATATATATATATATATATATATATATATAGCTTAAGATTTTGGTTTACGAAACACAAACAGTGCTCAATACCATATAGATAGAGCGTAATATAGTTTTTCGTTTTACCTCAAAAACCACAACAGTCTGTTTCATCCGTATAGGAATCATCAGACCACCTGATGATTCCTATACGGATGAAACAGACTGTTGTGGTTTTTGAGGTAAAACGAAAAACTATATATATATATATATATATACGAGTAGGTTTATGAATACAAAACGCAAAGAGTGCTCAATATCATAAAGATAGAGTATATATATATATATATATATATATATATATATATATATATATATATATATATATATATATATATATATATATATATATATATATAACCAACAATGAGATGATGGATGTGGGACACATAAATTGGCGTTCTTGTCGTATATATATATATATATATATATAAAGATATATATATATATATATATATATATATATATATATATATATATATATATATATATATATATATATATATATACTACACATTATGCCTAAGCCTTTATACGCACGCTCACTGCATTTCACAGTTTAAAAACGGCGATAAAGCACATAAGTAAAGACATTGTAGCGCCCTTCAAGGAAAGCTCAAACAACGGCAACTGTGGACAGCTGTTTCGCCCTTTTGGGGGCTCATCAGCACAGTGCACCGATGATGAGCTTCCACACATATATATATATATATATATATATATATATATATATATATATATATATATATATATATATATATATATATATATATATATATATATATATATATATTTACACAAGGCATGAGAAAGTCCGCCAGCATGGCAGGATGCTGCCGGGAAATTTTTTTAATCTCACAGGAAATTTTTAAGGAAAAGCAAGATATCAAGAATGAAGCTCGAGAAATTTCAAAAATCAGCATTAAAGTAACAAACATCACAATTAGAGCATAAATACAACAATCATAACATAAAAAATTGTATCATGTGGCAGTGCTACGGCTGTCTGTTATCATGATTCATGATTATGATACATGTGGAAAACAAGGGCGTATTACTATTATTGAATAGTGCATGAATACTGATATAAATTCAGATTTACAATCTGAAAACAAAATTCAAATATTGTTTCATAGAATTCCTTCATGTTTCTAATTGTAGTAAACCTATATTTTTCTTAACATTGAGGTAGTATATGACTTACTAAGGTAGTATATGCGACGCTGTTATTGAATTACAACCAAAATTCATATTCATAATTCATATAACCATCGAACGTGTTCAGCGTCGTGCCAGCAAGTTCATCGATAATTCAATATTTTTACCCGTACCTGAATGGTACTCCAACAACTTTTGCCGCGTACTTGAGCTGGTACAAACTTAAGAGACAATGTGTACATAATGCTAATTCCGAGTAAAAAATTGTACCTTTCTGAATTTTATATATTTAATAAATACGTTTACCAGTACGCAATATATTACACGTAAAACTAAATGCTCCACATTTATTCATTTGGCTAGTTCATGATAAACATTTTAATTGGATTGCTAATAACAGGAAATAATACTTAAGATTTCCCACAGCCAAAAACGTTTCGATCACATTGAATGGTTTACTGGCCTAAAAGCAAAAACTATGGACAATTTTGTAGAAATCTTTAATTAATGGTATTTGTACGACATAACATAACATTTTCAAAGCGTTGTTGCAACTCGAATGCCATCGCTCGTTAGTCGCTGGGGCCACCTGTGGTGCCCACCTACTCTAGGTTTGCCCTTTGGTACGCCACAAAATGATTTAATTACGTAATTCTTACGAAATAAAAATCGAAATGGTGTCGGAATTCGCTTCACCCGGCAAATAACTCACGTTTGTCCAGTTTATAGTTTACTTTATTGTTGATATTATGTTCTCGTTTTTCACCTACCAAATACATGTCAACAACAATTAACTACCAAATATCAACCAAATTATTACTAAATATGCCAAACTCGCGACACTCTCCCCCTATTTTATACTGTATGTATTAAGTGTGTCCGTAATGTAAACCTTATTCACTAGAAGTTCATGAATGAATTTACTGTATCGTTCAAATGGTTAGTTCCTCTTGATTTGCAATCTCTTTTATCTTTTCCCTAGCGACTATGGCTGCCTTTCTAGGATTAAATTCTCTTCCTCTGGGATTAAGTTCAGTAACTTCCTCAGTGTTATGTGGTATATCACATGATAACTCCATTGGACATAACTGCTGCACCGCTCTCTCAATAAATGACTTCCCAGCTCTTAACCTTACCGCGCGTACAACACCGTCTCTTCCTTTAATCAGCTTCACTACTCTAATAACCTGACGTCATTACTTATGTGACGTCACTTGTATATAGCTAGCATTCCATAGATATTAAAATTAGTGTTGTTATAACCACTCAATGAGCGTGCCTCGTATTATCATACTATAAGAATACTACATTGGCGACGAGGATCAAAATATCTCCACATAGGATAGGATAGGATAAAACTTTATTTGACTACGCTGGCCACTTCAACCATAGCTGCTTTCCAAGTGAGGCGTAGATAAATGTTACAAAAATATATAAAATACAAAATCACTAAGAAAATTAAGAACTACGAATACAACTACATGCGCTATGGCCTCATCTTTACCACCATTTCCTCCGTTCAATGTTGAAGACGACCCCACCGCGACCGGTCAACGCTGGACTAAATGGAAAAAACGTTTCGAAAATTTTCTTCTTGCCATGGATATCGACGATGAGACACGCAAACGCGCACTTCTTTTGCACTATATTGGCTCGTCAGCATTTGATATATTCGAGACTTTAACGGATACCGGTGACGAGAAAGACTACAAGAAAGCGATGGATCGCCTAACCGAACATTTTACGCCGCAACGCAACGTTGATTATGAAATATACCTCTTTCGTCAAGCTCGTCAACAACCAACTGAGACGCTCGATCAATTTACAACTCGTCTGCGCCAACTGGCCTCAACTTGCGAATTTACCTCTATTGAGAAAGAAATCAAATCGCAGATAATCCTCAACTGCTCCTCGTCTCACCTTCGTCGACGCGCACTTCGTGACTCACCCTTAACCCTCAAAGCACTTCTTGATCTCGGTCGCGCCATGGAAATATCAGAAAAACAAGCCTCTCAGTCTGGCATTGAATCTCAATCCATTTCTCCTGATGAAACTGAACTTTTAAACTATACTCGTTTGTCTCAGCGTTCTCAATCCCGTCAATCGCCGTCTCCTCCTTTCCCACGTTCTCGAGAGTTCCCTAGCCCATCCTGTACGTGTGGACATTGTGGCTATGCCTATCCCCATCCACAAGGTCAAGTCAGCTGTCCTGCGCGCGGCTCCCAGTGTCGTTCGTGCGGAAAAATGAAACATTTTGCCCGTTGTTGTCGATCTAAACCTATCAGACCAACGTTTGCTGAAAGTAGCTCCTCCCGTCCTCAATCGCGTTTTCAACCACCCCCTCCTAACTCCTTTCCACGTCAACCCCCTCCACGCGAGATTCGCCACGTTACCGACACTCAACAATATCCCACCTCTGACGATGAGTATCTTTTCACAGTAGCTATTTCCCAAGTCGGTAATTCAACCACCCCGAAGGCCAAAGTTATGATTGCAAATGTCCCACTTCAAATGTTGATTGATTCCGGCGCCAGCATTAATGTTATTGATGAAAAGGCTTATCACGCCATCACGAAATCTCCGCAGAATAATCCGCTTTCATTACGTCATACCTCCACGAAAATCTACAGTTACGGCGGTACTTCACCTTTACCTGTTCTTGGAACATTCTACACTCGCGTTGAATCGAAAACCCGCACAACTCCTGCTACTATCTACGTTATTAAGGGCGAAAATGGTTGCCTTTTAAGCTACAAAACTGCAACTGAATTAGAACTTATCTCTGTCATCGCTCAAACCAACGCATCTGTCAACACCACCACACCGCTTTCCGCACTTAGCAGCCACACAATTACGTTCTGAATATTCAGACCTTTTTGACGGTATTGGCAAAATGAAGGACTTTCAAGTTCATCTACATATCGATCCCTCCGTACCCCCTGTGACGCAACCTCATCGGAGAATTCCGTTCCACCTTCGCAAAAAGCTCGATATCGAACTTGACAAACTTGAACGCCAGGGTATTATCGAACCGGTTGATGGCCCAACTCCTTGGGTGTCCCCTCTCGTTGTGACACCAAAACCAAAGAACCCTGATGAGATTCGCCTTTGTATCGACATGAGCCAACCCAATCGTGCGATCCTTCGTGAACGTCATCTTACACCGACTATTGATGACCTAATTCATGATCTACACGGTGCCACTGTCTTCTCTAAAATTGATTTGAACTCTGGTTACCACCAACTCGAACTCGCCCCCGTTCAGACCCCCTAACCGTGAAGACCGGAATACCACAAGGCTCGGGATTAGGCCCATTATTGTTTTTGATCTATATTAATGATTTTCCAAAATGTTTAAGACGCACTAGACCAGATATGTTTGCCGATGACACCCAAATTGCAACATCTAATAGCGATATCAATGTAATCTTAGAGAATCTTAACACAGATTTAATAAATGTTTCGACTTGGATGACAGCTAATAAATTAACTTTGAACAATAAAAAAAACGGAGTTCATGGTTATAGGTAGCAATAAGCGACTTGGCCAAATAGTCTAAGAACCCTCAATTTGTGTGAGAGGCAAAGAGATTAAAAAGGTTAATACAACCAAGTCGCTTGGCCTAATGATTGATGATACTTTATGCTGGTCGGCCCAAGTTGAAAAAATTACAAAAAAAGTTAACTCGGGACTCAGCATTATTAGAAGACTGCGGGATATTGTTGATAATAATACTTTAATAACTGTTTATAAATCAATAATCCAACCACACTTTGATTATTGCTCACAAGTTTGGGGTTGCCTAGGAAAGGTTCTATCAGATAAACTTCAGCGTCTCCAAAATAGAGCGTTTCGTATTATTACCCGTGAAGGATATGAAACGCGATCAAAAGATATTCTAATCAGGGCAGGATTTTCAGATCTGCAAACAAGAAGGGAACAACAACTTGCTACATTAATGTATAAGATTAAACATAAAATGCTTCCAAACTACCTGCAGGATATTTTCATCAATACGCAAGAAGTCCATAATCATAACACTAGGCATAGTGAATTTAATTATACATTACCAATGCCAAATACTAATGCTATGAAAAAATCATTGGCCTACAGAGGAGCAGAGACTTGGAATGCTCTCCCAATTGACCTGAAGTCATTAGGAAGTATAGCAACTTTTAAGAGTGGGGTAAAACAATACAGATCGATATAATGTTAAGTTATAAAATTTTTTTTTATATTTATAGTAGTTAGCACACGGCCTATTGGAAGATCACTTTTTCTGGTTGTTTTTGTAAATAATATATTTTTAATATAATATGAAATAGTACCGTGTTTAAATAAAGTTGAAGTTGAAGTTGAAGCACAGAGGACTTCGCCGCTACACCCGCTTAAATTTTGGTACGTCATCCGCCGCCGAAGTCTTTCAAGATGCCATCCAACAAGTCCTCAGTGGTATCGAAGGTGCTCGTAATGTTAGCGATGACATCATCATTTTTGCGTTTACGCTCTAAGAACCTTACGTTGAATGCCAAAAAGTGCGAGTTCAACAAATCCTGCATCGAGTTCTTTGGGTATATATTCTCCAGAAATGGTTTCTCCCCAGACCCCAAGAAAGTCTCTGCCATCAACAACACCAGTCCCCCTACCACCGTTCATGAAGTTCGAAGTTTCCTCGGTATGACCAACTACTGCTACCGATTTATCCCCAATTATTCCACCATCACCGAACCCCTTCGTACGCTTACCAAATCCGATCAGCCCTGGACATGGACACCCCAGTATCAACACGCCTTTGATCAGCTGAAGCATCTTCTCACCAGCGACACCGTTCTCTCGTACTTCAACCCCCACAAAGAAGCCACCATACTTGTCGATGCCAGCCCTGTTGGTCTTGGTGCTATTCTTTGCCAAGATAACCATGTTGTTGCCTATGCAAGTCGTTCTCTCACTCCCGTAGAACAACGGTATTCCCAAACAGAACGAGAAGCCCTCGGTGTACTGTTTGCTTGTGAACATTTTCATCTTTACATATACGGCGCGAAATTCAACATCATCACAGATCACAAACCTCTTGAACGCATCTTTACCAATCCCACTGCTCGTTCCAATGCCCGATTAGAACGCTGGGCCCTCAAGTTTCAACCATATCACTTCACCACTTCCTATTCTCCTGGCAAAACCAATCCCGCGGATTATCTGTCCCGTCACCATCTAGCTACAACCCACCCTTCCACTGCATCCGACCAGGCGGAAGAATATATCGCGTTCTTAGCAGATCATACCACCCCAAAAGCTATGACCGTTTCTGAAGTGAAACAATTCACCCGTGCCGACCCCACTCTGCAAGCCGTCATCGAAGCCCTCCGTAACAACTCCTGACACTCAATGTTGGAGACACCCAGTCCCTTTGTCAACTCCCAGGACCTCCATGCTCTCTACAATACCCGCGACAAACTGAGCATTTCTGATGATCATGATCTCCTTCTTCGCTCTCACCGTCTCATCCTCCCACATGCCCTTCGTCAACGTGCTCTCCACATCGCCCATGAAGGTCATCAAGGCCTTACCAAAACCAAACAGCTGCTCCGCGAAAAGATTTGGTTCCCTTGAATCGATGGGCTTACGAAAAAGCTAATTGACACCAGTCTCGCCTGTCAGGCAACAGTTGTTCAACAGCCATTTGAACCCCTACGCATGACCAAGTTACCACAGGCCCCTTGGCAACAACTCTCTGTCGATTTCTGTGGCCCTCTTCCCCCCGGCGATATGCTCTTCGTGGTAATCGACGAATATTCGCGCTATCCCGAGGTTAAGATTGTTCGCTCCACCTCTGCAAATACCGTCATCCCAAACTCGACCGTCATCCCAAACTCGACCGTCATCCCAAACTCGACCGGAAGACTTGTATTTGATTGCAAACAGTTGTTCCGAAAATGAATTGCTTATTAACCCGAAAAAGACCAAATACATGCTGATTGGCACACGGCAAAATCTACAACAACTTCCCGTAGATATGACCATAAACTTCCTCAACGAGACTATTACCCCCATCTCCTTTGCCAAAGATCTAGGAATGACAATCGACTCTTATTTGACATATGACCAGCACATCACCAACCTGGTTTCCTCATGTATGAATTCCCTGTGCCAAATAAACCGAGTCAAAAAATGTTTCGATAAAGAAGCTTTAACTCTCATCGTCTCGGCACTTGTAATGAACAAAATGTTCTATTGTTCAACGGTTTGGTCAAACACTTCGTCTACCAACATTAACAAACTACAGTTGGTACAAAATTTTGCATGCAGGATAATAACAAATATTGGAAAGTTCGACCATATTTCGCCGGGCTTATGCGAACTTAATTGGCTCCCAGTAAAGGAACAATTACTACTAAGAGAGGCTATTATGATGTACAAATGTGTCAATGAACTTGCTCCACATTATTTGAGCGATTTATTCACAAAACGTTCTGACATTCATCAACGAGATACACGTAGCCATGACTCACTGCAAATACCATTGTACAAAACTTCTGCAGGTCAAAGGTCCTTTCATTATAGAGGCGTTACACTTTGGAATGATTTGGACATTAAGTTCAAAAAGTTAGACTCCCTAAAAACTTTCAAAAACGAACTGAAGCGAAGCATGCTAGAACAAATATATAAGTAGATAATTTTACCTTGTTAAACTTTATACAAATGTCTTACCTTTTTACCTTAATTTAAATTTTAGATTCTAAAACTTGTAAATAGAACAACATTTATTTTTTGTAAATCAGTGTTGAAAATCCCTATTTAGGGAACACAATTAAGTATGTATGTATGTATGTATTTTATCCACGCATGGCATTCCTAGAGAAATCAAGTCTGACAACGGACCTCCATTTCAAAGTCACTCTTTCGCCCAGTTCGCGAAATACATGGGGTTTCACCACCGAAAGATCACTCCAGAGTGGCCCAAAGCCAATTCTGAGTCTGAACGTTTCATGCGAACAATTCAGAAAACCCTCCGCGCTGCCCACCTCGAAAACAAGAATCGGAAGCAAGAACAGTTTCTTTTCCTCAGAAACTACCGTGCGACGCCACATTCCACCACAGGAATTTCCCCTGCCGAACTCATCTTTGGACGAAAATTAACCGTCAAGTTACCGGAAGTAGTCCCCACGTCACCATCACGATCCCAATTCGCCGATATTGATCTCAAAAAGAAGGAAAAGATGAAAGAGTATCCTGATACCGCAGCCAAAGCAAAACCACACAACTTTCAAGTTGGTGACACTGTTCTCGTTCGTCAAAAACGCGTCAATAAACTATCGTCACCGTACAACAAACATCCATACACTATCGTCAAGATCAAAGGTAGTATGATAACGGCAAGAAACGCAACCAGCTACATAACAAGAAACAGCTCGCAGTTGAAGAAAATCACCATCACCACACATCAACAAGATCATGAAACAGACCCTTTTGACGATGAGGAGATCACCATTCCAACACCGGACCATCCTACGGAAATTAGGCGTTATCCCACAAGAGAAAATAGAAGAACCCCAGAACGCCTAAACATTGAATATCAGCATTAACAATATTCAAACATACTAAATATATATATATTTCATTTTAGATCATTGGTTTTAATTAGTTCAAATTACTTCATATGAACAATGCCCGACGAACGTCCATTCAAAACAAAGGAGGGATGTAATAACCTGACGTCATTACTTATGTGACGTCACTTGTATATAGCTAGCATTCCATAGATATTAAAATTAGTATTGTTATAACCACTCAAAGAGCGTGCCTCGTATTATCATACTATAAGAATACTACATACTATAAGAATACTACAATTACCACACCGATGTTCCATTTTCCTCGATTCCGCTCATCCGATGTTATTAACACCACGTCTCCAGGTTTGATAGAGAGTTGTTTGGTCTTATGGTTAAGGTTATGTCTCTCTCTCAAGCCTTTCACGTACTCTCCAGACCATCTGGACCACAATGTATCCTTGCAACGCCGTAGATATCTTGCTCTTTTTCTCAGATTACTGTCGATATCTTCCTCTGGCACTAGATTGGACTGTTCGAACATCATTGAATTAGGAGTTAAAACGGGTAACTGAATGTCATCCTCGACGTATGACAATGGGCGATTATTTAGCGCGATTTCGACATCGAGTATCACTTCTTCGAATTCGTTCCATGTTAATTTAGCACGTCCGCTCGACTTATACAATGCTCGTTTCACTAGCCCCACAAGTCTCTCGAATTGTCCTCCCCACCAGGGAGCTCTGCTTAAATTAAATTGCCATGTTATGAACTGGTGGGCGAGATAATTTTGAAGCTTCTCATCTTTCATGATCATTCTGAGCCACTTCGCTGCAGCTACAAAACCTCTGGCGTTGTCGGAATAGATCTTACTAGGTCTACCACGTCTAGCAACAAACCGCTTTAAACTTCTGATAAATCCATGAGTCGTTTGATCTTTTAAGAGCTCGAGATGGATGGCTCGGGTAAGACTACATGCGAACAGGAAATGAAATTTCTTGCACCCGAAGCAATTGTTGATAATTTTCTTTTTAGTAACGACCAGAAGGCTTTTTTTAAAAAAATTTAATAAATTGTAACAACGTTTCGGAGTTTACTCCATCATCAGGTTACATTTATACGCACTAAAAAACCGTTAAAGCATGCGACCGTTATTAGCTCGCGCGTATGCGCTTGCGTAAACATATAATTGACGTGTCCGAGAATTTAAATATATCAATTAGATAAATTAGAACTAAGTGTTTTAACGAGCGTGTCCGAAAATAGTATATAAATCCTTACACTAGAAAATTTGCTACGCTAAGCTGTTCGTATTTATTGTTCAAGTCTGGTTTTAGCTTCTGGATGAATAATGCTTCTGTGATCTTTCGGTCCAATGAGCCACTTGTTTTTTTCAGAATTTTTACAGTTAACTTTGGTTCCTGTCCAGGGTGGCACTCGATATAGTGTCTGGAAAAAGCCATGTTCTTATATGATGGTGCTGTGGGATTAGCTGCGGAGCGGTAGTGTTCTTTATAACGGACGACTAAAGGTCTACTGGTTTCACCAACATAGCTTCGTCCACACAGATCGCAGTTAATTAAATAGACGACGTCTTTCTGCGAGCACTGCACGGGAATAGATGAGTTGTGGCAAATAGGGCATTTGGAAACGTCTTTGCACGACTTATCGTGGGGTCTTGACTCGACAAGGAGGTTCTTCAGGGAGCTTTGGGGTCGTTGAATTATTCGTACGTTCAGGTTAGAACGTTTAACCGCTCTTTTGATGTCGTTCGTGAAGCCACTTGACACATACGGGATAGTCAGCGTGGGGAGGGATTCTTTCTGTTTCTGTGTTGTTTTCTTTCTCTGCTTGACTCGATCAACGTAGCTGTTATCATAACCATTCCGTATAGCTCTTCTTTTGAACGTCTGCTCAGCTTCTTCGAGTAAGGCGTCACTCGAACATATCGCGGTGTAAGTGTTGATCGTGTTACTTATGCAGGCTTGTTTCATATGTTCTGGGTGATGGGATCTTTCATTCAACATCAGACCTTTATTGGCAGGTTTTGTGTACCACCCCGTTTCGATGCATCCAGATTCGTTAACTTTCATCTTAGTGTTCAGGAATGGAAGGAAGCCATCTACGTCCGGTAATTCAATCTCAAAACGGATTTCAGGGTCTTGGGAGTTTAACTTGTTTTGGATAAACGCGGCTTCTTCCGGATTGCTAGCTGGTGTGATGCAGTCGTCAATATATCGGTAGTAGAGGGAGACAGAAAGGGATAGGTCGGAGTAGATTGCTTGATTCTCAATTCTATCCATGTAGAGAATGGATATCGCTAACCCATCGCTAAACCTCGAAGCTGTTGGTAAAATGTTCCTTTCCTTTACCAACAGCTTCGAGGTTTAGCGATGGGTGGACGAGGCTATGTTGGTGAAACCAGTAGACCTTTAGTCGTCCGTTATAAAGACCACTACCGCTCCGCAGCTAATCCCACCGCACCATCATATAAGAACATGGCTTTTTCCAGACACTATATCGAGTGCCACCCTGGACAGGAACCAAAGTTAACTGTGAAAATTCTGAAAAAAACAAGTGGCTCATTGGACCGAAAGATCACAGAAGCATTATTCATCCAGAAGCTAAAACCAGACTTGAACAATAACTACGAACAGCTTAGCGTAGCAAATTTTCTAGTGTAAGGATTTATATACTATTTTCGGACACGCTCGTTAAAACACTTAGTTCTAATTTATCTAATTGATATATTTAAATTCTCGGACACGTCAATTATATGTTTACGCAAGCGCATACGCGCGAGCTAATAACGGTCGCATGCTTTAACGGTTTTTTAGTGCGTATAAATGTAACCTGATGATGGAGTAAACTCCGAAACGTTGTTACAATTTATTAATTTTTTTTAAAAAGAGCCTTCTGGTCGTTACTAAAAAGAAAATTATAACATTTAAATGAGGCTTAGAGAAAGTTGTTGATAACTTTCTTTGTTAACTGCCTCAATCGTGGGATCCAATAGTCACGTCTGACCAAAGTCATTGTGAGGCCAACTCCCCCGTGCAGAATCACGATGTGGGCGTCTTCAACGATCTTCTTAGATAAACGTGCCGCAGGTGGTAAGAATAGAGGAAATTCTCCTTGAATGCGACCACGGCACTCGTACAACCAGCTGAGTTCAGTTGTAAGTTCAGTCTTAATTTGTCTTCTTGAAACTCGTCTGTACCACTGGAGCTGTCTTGGACTTTCTTGATCCACCACTCAACTTGTTGATGTATATCTTTAGTTGTCAAAGGAGCAGTAACTCTCGCTAGTTTCTTCAACTTACAGTTCGTTAAGAATCTTCTATCCAAGCCATGATACGGACTGCAGACCAAAACCAATGTTTCGACAATAATTCTTCGAACTCATCATTTATCTCCACGGCAGCTGCGAATAATTCTCGGCTCAGTTTCGCTTCTTGTTCAGTTTCCTTGCTTGCCTTAGGAACAATTGACTCCGGCAACTGGTTGGGGTATAGCAATCACACTGGTCCGTTTAACCAAATCTTGGGGAGATTGCTTCCAAGACACCCTCCGCTTCCAACGTCAGCTGGATTCTGGTCAGTGGTTGCATGTCTCCACTCGATGAACTCCTTCTCGTTTATCTTACGCACTCTGTTAGCTACGAACTGTTTATAAGTTCCACCCCTTTGATCCAATATAGGGCTACGGTGCTATCTAGCCATCCCGTAACAGATCTCACCAGTTGACCATCAAGGGCATTCTTTGTATTCTCTGCCAGGTTTGCCGCCATGTGCGCTGAAACAAGCTCTAGCCTCGGAATAGACAAGCCTTTCTTCGCTAAACGAGACTTCGCGGTCAGTAGGCCCTGGTTAACTCCTGACTCTTGGTGGACAACTGCATAAACTGCCGCCGACGTCCCAACTCCACTTGTGTCTCCGAACACATGTAGATCTATCGCTTTAGTCGGTTCTTGAATTGATGTGATACTTCTTGGTATCTCTACTCTACCAGGTAGGCTATTCTCGAATTTGCACCACTGATCTGCGACGCTTTCCGACACTTTCGCATCCCAGGGTAGATGTTGGTCACAAACTTGCCGATACATCAGCTTTCCTGAAAGTGTTGTGGGCGACACTAAACCAAGTGGATCATATATCGAGGCTAAGAATCGTAACATTTCTCTCTTGGTCGTTTCAGCAATTGGTTGTGGAAAAGTAACAGATATAGTGTCATTGTTTTTATTCCATGGCAGTCCAGCAACTTGGTTTCTCCCGCTTTGACTCCGAGCTGATCGTTCGCGTAACTTTGCTTCCCATCATCAGGCTCACTTTTCGCTTCTAACACTGATTCGTTGGAGTGCCATTTGTGTAACACAAACTTGGCTTCTTCGCATATTGCTACAGTGGTCTCCTTCAGATCAAGCACTTCCTCTTTAGTGTCTCCCCCGTGATGATATCATCAACATATACACATTTCTCGATTTCTGCGACTTCATTTGGATATCGTTCCTTCAGACTCCCTAGATGTCGTTTCAGCGTTGCTCCGAGCAGAAATGGTGACTGCACTAACCCAAACAGGGCTCTGGTGAATCTGAGAACCTCTATCTCTGATGTTTCCTCCTTGACCCAGTGAAACCTTAACACATCTCGATGTTCTGGTCGGATTCTGATCTGAAGAAATGCCTTTTTGAGATCACCAGCCAACGCAACAGGTTTCAACCGATTTCTCACCAACACATCCCAAAGGATATTTTGCAAGGGCGGCGGCCCTGTCTCTAAACAGTCGTTCAATGATTGGCACTTGTCATTGGCTTTAGCTGATGAATCAAACACGATACGAGTTTTGGTGGATTCTGCTGACTCCTTTACGACAGGCTTATGCGGTAGTCGGTAGATAGAATTCTTTCCCGACTGGTTCACTGGTTACTCGTTCAACTGCAGCCTCAGCAACTTGATTTTGAATGATCTCATCGTATTCATTCATAAGGTTGGGATCTCTTCGTAGTTTCTTGACTAAATTATCTAATCGTTTTAA